TCGGCAAAAAACCGGTGTTCTTGGTTCAGGTGGGGGGCTGGACGACATGGGCGAATCAAACGCACGTTTGTCGAAAGTCAAAGTCGAAGCGATGTCCCAGCAGATGGGGCCAGTGTGATTGCCGCCAGTCTCCGTCGAACGTGCGCGGAGCAACGGTCCGACGGTGATAACGGATCACTGTGCAGGGAGTTGCACGTCTCGTGGAAGATGCTGCGGTGTGAATTCCCACCTTCTACGTCGGGAATTACTGTTGTCCGTGTCGCGCCTCCGTCTACTCACTCCTTCCTCCGCCTCCTCCTCCGTCCTTCTCCATATCACGATCATAACCATCGCGATGTGACAGGCATACCACTTGGGCAACACAAGGTGAGGCCGCCAGGGGATAGGTCACCGGTTCGTGCCCAGATTGCGGGGATGCCTCCAGCGGTTTGCTTGTTTCGCGGATATAGGCGCGTCTTTCAGGGCCGCGTGGTGTTCGCGATGTCGCAACCAACGCTGTTCGGCACCACAATGGGGAGCGACCACGGGGTAGGACACCTGCCCGTTGGCGCCCAGCATTCGGGGATATCTCACGCGAGATGCTGGCGTTTTCAGGTAGGTGGGCGTGCTTCTTTGGGCAGCCCAGCGTTGTCAAATTTTGCGCGGCGGTTGCACGACGACGGTGGGCGCACCGTAGAACTTTTCATGACAACCCATCGTTGTCAAGGTTTTCGTGGCGGTTGTAATTAAGACGTGCGCGAGCACGGTGGTCGCGCGCACTTGAGTGTTCACATTCGTTATGGTGCTCGCATGTGGTTGGCTAGACGTAGGACTTGTGTAGGTCTTGGAAAAATATGTGGTACGTCTTGGTTAGGTCGTGGGCGGGCCTTCACTGGGCTCTGGGTGGGCTACGTATCAGCTCTTGAAAGGCCGCCCGGTAGGCCTGAGGCAGGCATTGGACAGGCCGTCTGGCTGACCTTGGGCAGGCCGGGGGGTTCGTGGGCAGGCATCGGACAGTTGGCATTGGGCTTGCTCCAGGTGGGCCTTGGACGCTCTGGGTCGTCCAGTTGTTGGGGAGGCGTACACACACTGCGTGAGGGGTGTGCCGAAATCGGGCCCATTGAGCCGTCTTGAGAGGTAGCTGTTTTTTATGTATTTTTTCGCCGATCGGCGTGGGCCCCCGCACACCCCCTTCCCCAAAGATGGCTGCTTTTAGCGGCAGCTTCAAGCGGGTGGATTAAGCACTGGGACCCGCCCCCCCACCTCCCCCCCGGTGGACATGAGCTGCTGCGGTGCGTGTGTGTGTGTGTGTGTGTGTGTGTGTGTGTGCTTGTTTTCTCCAGGCGCCCCTCTTGAAATGAAGAACAAGGGTATGCAGCCAGTTGAAGTGGGATCATGCGGAATCCTTTTTAGACCTGCGGCCAACCGTATTGGCTCAAGCATGTCTTGGCTCAAGCAGCTGGATTAATCCCCGCCCCCTGGATTAATCCCCACCCCCTGGATTACACCCTACACCCTTTCAGATTGTCTTCGATTTTCTCTCGAACACTCCATGCCGGTGAACACTCGCCAGCCGGGCACTCCAGTGCGTGGAGTACTTGGCAGCTTATCCTCTGAGGCAGCGCTGGTCGAAGTTGTGCCCCTTGCCACTCCCGCCGACACGAGGGCCCGCCTGAGGAGCCCCGTGCACGAGATGGACGATGGCTTGCTCTCGGACGACGAGGAGAAGGATAAACAGCTCGGGAACCATTTTCGGCAGCCGGACTTCTCGAATGTCGACGCCGCTACAGGAGCTGCTCTACCGAGTGGCATGGAGGGGGGCCCGTTGACGGAGCCGGTTACGATGTCGGGCATCGCGGCTCTCTTGAAGCAACAGTTGACCCCCGTAACGTCAGTGGTGGAGCGCTTGCGGGAGGATTTCGGGAAGCTGAAGCTCGAATTCACCACTCTCGGCGAGACGATGTGCAACCGGCTTGCGGACGTCGAGGCGAGCATCATCAGTACCGGGGCCCGCGTGGACAAGCTGGAGAACCTATACGAGGAGCGGGTGAACAAGGCGCCCCTTCCAACCGACGACGTCGGGACCATGGTGCGCAACTACATCAAGGAGTACATGAAGCAAGAGGGCGAGCACACGATCGTGAAGAAGGGCGCGAACCAGGACCCGACCATAGGCAAGAGGACGGTGACGGCTGTGATCGGTAATCTGGAGGGCCTCTCCGACCTCTCCCAGGCGACGGCATGGTTGCAGGAGCGGTTGACGTCTTTGGGAGCCCCTCCCCCAGTGAAGGTATATTCGAAGGGAGGTTACTCAGGCATCATCTTCGCCGAGTTCGGGACGACGCTGGAGCGTGACAGCGCGGTCGATTTCCTGCGGGGCGCTGGCCTTCGGAGCGGGGGGAAGCAAATCTGGGCGAACCAGGACCGGTCCCCCATCGAGCGCGCCGCCCGAAACTTCTGTTTCGGCCTGAAGTACATTCTCAAGAACACCTGGGAGGTGCCGTACACGATCGCGGTCTCCGACGAGGCTCCCTACACCGTCACAATTGGCGGAGAGCACGCTTTGACGGCGAACGTGGTGCAGAACGGAGTCGAATACGTCTGGCAAGGGGACTGGGGGTCATGGGCGGAGCTGCATGGGCATCCACTCGTCAGAGAGCTCCGGAAGAAGTCCGACGATCTGGTGTCCCGGGCGGCGAAGGGCACGAAAGGCGCCAAGGGCACCGCGAAGGGCGACTACAAGGGGAAGCAGACCGGCGCCCCTGGGCGCCCAGGGGAATAGGAAATGGCCCCCTCAAATGTTTCACCGGCACTGGCAGTCGGCAGTACTGCCAATATGAGCCCATATGATTTGCGAATTCACGACAGCATGACTGTACATACTGAGGACGCGGTTGGCCGCGACAGCAGCTACACAGAACTTTTCGATTACCGTGGTGGGCCGTTACGCCCCTGCAGGAAAGACGTCGTATTTGGATCGTGGAACGTGGAAGGGCTGACAGAGTCCAAGATCGCAGAACTCCAAGAGCACATGCGGACCTTCAACATAGATATTCTCGCAATCCAAGAGACTCACAAGCCAGAGTCAACGTATGAGGTCACTGGCCCTGGCTATCTTTTGATTCTCTCTGGAGGCGCGGACGACCAGGAGACAGCGGGGGTTGGATTTCTCATATCTCCAAGGATACGTACAAGCATCATCGAATTCAGAATGGTGTCGTCGAGGGCGCTTGTGGTGAAGCGGGGGCAAGGTGCCGATCTTCGAAAGAGCGTGTTCTACCGCTGCTGGCGGAAAACCGGGGGGGGTCACTACCGGTTCGAACCCCCCCCCCCCCCCTCCAGAAAACCGGGGGGGTCACTGCCGGTTCGAACCCCTCCCCCCCCCCCCCCCCAGCTCATCATGAAAGGGGGGGGGGGTCACTACCGGTTCGAACCCCCCCCCCCCCCCCTCGAAAACCGAGTGGGGGTGCGGACAGTGGTGGGGACGGTGTTGGTGGGGACAGTGGTGAGGGGACAGCGGGACAGTGGTGGGGACAGCGGGGGGACAGTGGGACAGTGGTGGGGACGGTAGTGGTGGGGACAGTGGTGGGGACAATGGTGGGAACAGGGGGGGCAGTGGACAGTGGTGGGAACGGTGGTGGTGGGGACAGTGGTGTGGGGACAGTGGGAATGAGGTGGAAACACTGGGACAGTGGAGGGTACAATGGTGGTGGAGACACTGGTAAAGGCGGTGGCGAGGACGGCGGTGGGACAATGGGACAGAGGTACAGTGGGGACAGTGGTGGGGACAGTGGGGACAGTGGTGGAAACAGTGGGACAGCTCAGTGGGACAGCGGAGGAGTCAGTGGGACAGTGGGGACAATGGGGATAGGCAGTGGTTGGGTCCGTGGAGACAGTGGGGAGAGTGGAACCGTGGTGGGAACAGTTGTGGGAACAGTGGGGACAGTGCGACAGTGGTGGGGGCATTGGTGGGGACAATAGGGACGGTGGTGGAACCAGTGGGGACAGTGGTGGTGAGGACAGTGGTGCTGGGAACAACAGTGGGGGATGTGATGCGAGCGGTGGTAGGGACCGGGAGTCGTTTGCTGGCGGTGCGTGGTGGGGGGGGGGTCGAACCGGCAGTGGCACCCCTCCTCACGGTTTTAGGGGGGGGGGGGGGGGTTTCCAACCGGTAGGACCCTCCTTGGTTTTCCGGATCCGGAGGAGGGGGGGGGGGGGGGGGGGTTCGAACCGGTAGTGACCCCTCCGGTTTTCGAGGGGGAGGGGGGGGGGAGGGGTTAGGGGAGGGGGGGGTTTCCGGGAAGGGGGGGGGGGGGGAGAGGGGGGGGGGGGGGGGGGGGGGGGAGGTTCCGGCAGGGGGGGGGATTTTCGGGGGGGGGGGGTGGGGGGTTTCCGGGTTCCGGAGGAAAAGGTTGGCAATTTTCCACAGTAAAGCGGCGGTGGATCACGCTCTCTCCGATCTTCAGCATTTACGCCCCACGCAGCGGCAAACCACGCGAGGTCAGAAGAGAATTTTACCAGTCTCTGGGCACCCTTATCCGAGACATCTCTGGGCATGGAGGGCCAATGCTTCTCGGAGATTTCAATGCGAGGCTACACAAGCTATTCCCATGCGATTTACCGCATATTGGGCCGTATGTCTTCGGCAACCCGTCGGCGCAGCAGGGCCCAAATTCTAATCGCAGCTTGCTGCTGGAGTGGTGTGGGGACACACGGACTACTAATCAGCAGTACGTTCTTCGACCACACACCGGAGGCGCAAATGACGCGCTACAACATCGGTTCCAA